TTAATTTATTTTTTACACACTGTATGATTCTTTTGCATATTTCATGATATAAACAGGCAAAACATGCAAGCGCTTGTGCAGCATCAAGACGATTCTCGCATTTACATTTATCTATACGCAAGCATTCTTCATGTAATTCTGAAAATATAATTATTGTTTATAGTATTCCTTTAATATTTCACGGCTATGTACATATGCTAAAAATAAGCTTCATATTTAGTAATTTAGTAAAAATTTTCGTTCAAACAATGAAAGGTATTAAAGTCTATAAATTTATAAAATCTATAAATTTTCGAGAAAATTACCACTAAATCAATAAAATTAATTCAGAGAAGAAGATTTACGGGTATAAACGAATATTTAGCAATAAAAATATGGGCAAAACGAGAATAGTAAAACTATAATTTTTGAAAAATAGGTTTTCCACTTTCGGAAATAGAAATTTAGCATTTGCATTTCAAAATGACACCAACAATTCACTTCATTCTGCAAATTTTCAATTTATTACAAATTTTAAAACCAATTTTTCTAAAAAAAAATTGGTTACCTAGGGAACTAATTGAAAAAAAAATCACAGAAAAAGCAAACTTAATCAAAAAAGTTAAAAATTATCAAATTTTAAAAATAATAAATAATAAAATAATAATAAAAAATAATAATAAAAATAATAAAAATAATAATAAAAAATTCTAAAAACTTTTATTGAAAAAAACAACTTTTTTGATTTCAAACAGGCAGAGTACGACTTTTAGTAAATTTTTAAAAATTGCAAAAAAATTGGCATATTGCCAGACTCGGATTTATTAAAAATATTAATTTGAATGGATCGTTGGGGAGTTTTTATTCTTTTCACCCGGTTGGATTTTATTGCTTTTTTGGTCATTTGAAAGGTATTAATCGAATATGGTATAAGGTCGGTGCTTAGCAGAAGCCACTGAATAAAGTGCAGTACAAATCTTAAATGTTAGGCAATTGCCGTCTTTATGTGCAACCAGTCGATGGTACTTATAGCACTGTCAACCAGGTTTTTGGGTGGAAAAAGTACAAATGAGCATAATATAAATTAATCTATGATGGTGGCAGTATTGGTTAAGGATAGCCACGTTATCCTTTCAATATTTTATTCCTGCACCTGGCAGAAATCAATCTATCATTAGAAGGTCTGCGTGACTGAGGTTTCGTATATGTGCATCGATCCACAAATGATTCCGTGGCAGAAATATCTGAGCATATGCTCAGCTAAGCTAACAGAGAGAACCTATCTGGGAATTGTGATCTCTAAGAATGTAGGAACACTTAAATACTTTTTATTAATAAGTTAAGGATATAGGCAGTTTTGACAGACTGTTTAAGGAAATTAAGAGAATTTTTTTATTCAGTGCTAAAAAGATATTTAATAAGGTTTGAGAGGAAGTGGAAAAGATTTTTCAACCAATTAATACAGTTTTAGAGAAGTACCAAGGAGATTTATTAATGATTGAGATAAGCTTTTTATCAATTTGAAACTACGACTTCTTTTGTTTTAGACACATGTCCATACGCGCATTATCGTGGCAATACTAATATACTAATCACTGATGCGGTAGTAAAAAGTAGAGGCAGTGTGAGCGTCAGCACGATTAGGCAATGATTAGGTCGTCTAAGAGCGCCATATTTTTTGGCTTGATATTACGTTTGGCTATAAATATAATTCTCTAATTCTGCTGTAATAATTCCGTAATTTATTGTAATTTCGAAATTTTATTATTACTCTTTCATGTTCAATTTTTTTTGAAAAATACGTTTTTCTTTTTTAGAGATCTGATGAAAGAGTTCTCTCTGTATTGATTAACTGTGAACGGTTGTGCTGACAAGCTGCTTTGCCCACGTCGGTCGCTAGGTGTTCACTTTTACTACTATTTTCTTATTTTTCTCTCCAAACTTCTACAGGCTTCGAGTAATCTCTTCAATAAGATTTTTTTCTAAGGATTATTTTATTTCCTGTTTTATTTTCCATTCTTCCTAAAATTTTTTTTCATCTCTGGCTTAGACAGGGATAAACCTGTCATGATATCGAAAATCCAAGCTGCTGCTGGGTCCTACTTGTAATTCTATCCCTAAGCGATCATATGGTAGAAGGGTCAAAACTTTTTGACTCTCCTCCACTGCGCATGATACTCTCAGCTTGATAAGTATACAATCCGGAGTAGTAAAGCGACCTCAAGGCTTGAGAATATGGTGTGCTTATGAGCCAAGTTACTCGAAACCTGTCAAGGGAAACGAGAAAACGTCCATTAGTATACTGTACGTGCGGCGCTGAAACTGATAACCTTCTTGGATCAGGCTATTTTATGATTCGTTTCAAGATTCGCATAAAACAATTCTAACAATTCTAAGAAAAAACCCTTTAAGATCCTTCAATCACGTTAAACTAAAAAATTCGGAGAGAATGAGAGCATTTCAAACCTTATTATTGAAGCACCTTAGTTGAACATTATTGAGATCTCTGCAAAGACTGATGAATACTGGGGCCAAACTAAAGGTATGTCTCCGAAAATCAACCACTTCCATGAGATATCTCAGTAGGAAATGCACTAATTGCGTATCGGAAGTAGCTATCCAATTGTTTGAAAAAGCCTCGGATGTCAGAAGATCCTAACTATCGGATACTTTGAAGGATTGCAACAATAGCAGCATAGCGGGACAAAATTCGCTATTGAAGCGATATGACCTTGAGAATGGAGATGGCGGTATGATTAGGCCATAATAAGAAACTATTATATCTTCATAAAACAATCATAACTCGAGGGACGGTCAGTGAATAAGACGAGATGTAACTGTGGCTATTAAGGATCGTCTTGCAGAATATACGAATGTACGAATTCACGGATTCTCTCACATATAGCTGAACTGCTCGTACAGCCATATGTTTGCAATTGCGAGCAACCAACTGAAGAAGTAATCTTCATTATCCATAAGCATAGATGTTTACGGAATTTTTCAAATATTGTCCATCGTCCATCGTCTTTCATAACACACCTTCAACATATGTGCTCTTTAGTGTGGAAGTACCAGGTGACTAGAGCAAAACAATTCTACCCCCAGTTCTTACGAAGGGCGACAACTTACACTCTGGCAATCCACGAGGATCAACCTTCGGAAAAATTTTTGCTTCCCTTTTACTGAATAAACGTATGGGAACACGAGACAGTGGGACCAAGTTGGATTCAAACCGGGGTGCTGACTAAATATTCATGTTAAAAAAAGTGCTGGAACATCGCTTCAAATATCGACAATCTACCGTCACTTGCTTCATCGATGCTTTGAAAAAGATGGGTAGTTCCAGAGATCATCCGACTTATTAAAGTATTCTATCCGCGTATATCAGCAAAAATCTGTATATAGGGAACTAATGGACTCCTTCGAAATAAGAACTGGTGTCGGTCAACACTGCGTTCTTTCCTTTCCACTACAATGTTCAACTGTGCGAGTCACTGGATAATGGACATCGGTTGTTATCACTCAAGAGTTATACAAATCAGTTCACTGCTTAGCGTCATAGATCTTGAATAAACTGATAGCGTAGTCCTTTTTGTTGACAGTTATAACGGAATGCAAATATATTACCGAACAATGTGTCGACAACTGCAGCGAGAACTGTGCTTAAGGTTCATTGTAAATAAAATGAAATTCTTTTCGCTTATATACGAGAAAGTTAAATTTTTGTCAATTCATCGCCAGTTGAGGAAGTGCAAACTTTAAATATCTCAAACCCATTTTAATCCCAAATGGCAAAGCGAAAAAAGAAATTATAACTCTGATAACTTTACTCTGATATTAGTAAGAAATGCGTTCTTCCGAAATCTTCACATATAGTGCTACAGTTCGCTCGATCTTGCTAGGCTGAGAGACACGGCCGATGAGAGTGAAGAATATTAAGAAGAAGCTTTGCCTTTGACCACTTATGTCTAAATACATTTTATAGGTTCACCGAGCTGACAAAATCTCACATGATTACATCCACCTTCACTCAAATATCGCTTGCATGAACATCACGGAAGTCGTCTTCACTGGTTAGGGCATTTTTTTCGTCGACCACCACAAGAGTTGACACATATTTCGTTACTTGTTAAGCCCATGATGGATAGCGTCAAAAGCGAGGTGGGTTAATCAAGACCCGGGCTGACACGGTCAGAAAAGATTTTGAACGTATAGGTGGACCTGCAATATATGAGCTTAGACGATGGGGAAAAGAATGGCTTCTGTTACCATCGACGATGATATTCATCAGGTCGAGCTGCTTTGAAGCACCTTGCCTTTATAGCCAGCGGATCCAGCTTAACCACTAATGGTAAGTAATAGTAAGCTTAGAAGATGACGAAGGAGAAACGGCAAAGGCATCGGTTATATATAAAGGAAGGTTTTTTTCGCATTGCAGCGGACATAACCATTATAGATTTTTTAGGTTTATATTTGAGTTTTTAGTTAAATATGTTTTAAAGTTGTCTTTTCTCTTTCTTTTCCCTTTCTTTCACTCGTGAAACGAAATTTTTTTTACTATAATTTTTCAAAAATAACTTTAGGCGATGAAGATAAAAAAAGGAAGTAATAAAGAATTGCTCTCAGAAGATAGCATATATACTCGTGGTGGATTTTTATTTCATCATACTGTCCAGCGTAATTTAAAGCAAGGCGAAATTATAAAATTACAAAAATTTGGTGATTTTTGCAATTTTTTCTTTTTTCAAAAATTTTTAAATATTGAAATATTTTTTAAATTTCTTTGATTACAATTCTTTGCAGGAATAAAAATAAAAAAAGGGGTTTTTTCCGAGGAAGAAAATTGCATTATAAGAAAGGTTGGATATTTTCTTTGTTTTGATTTTATGCTAATATTACTATTTTTTATACTGTATTATATTATTGTTATTATGTTATTATTATTCTTATTTTTTTATTATTGACAATTGTTATTGTAAATTGTTGAATTTGAACGCATGTTTATTTCAAAAAAGATAATTATGTATATTATTGAAAGGTAATTATGAGTTTTTTTTTAAAAAGCAACAGATAATTTATCCGTTTATTTAAAAAGAAAACCAATATACAGTAGCTATGCACTTTATTGAGCTTCTGAAAGCTTCATAAAATGTTTGCGCCGTACAATATAGATGAAAAGTTCGAAATAAAAAAAAGCTACTGTAATAGTTAAAATGAAGCGTGTCGCACAATAACATCTTGAATAATTACTTTTAATTTGAATATGTTAAACTGGAATGTATTAAGAATCCAATTAGATTTAATCAGGGATGGTAGTCCACTTGTATTTCTTTTGCATAGTGGTAAAATTAGCTAGTGGGGCAATCTTAACCAGAAATATTAGATTTAATCACATTGCAGTAAATTATTTATTTATTGACGCAAATCGGCAGAAAAGCTTCTTTTAACACAAAAATTTAGCGCTAAGTAATGGTTGCAAATTAAAGGAGTAATTTAAATTTACAGAATTGGGAATCATTTGCAAAGCAATATAATTTATCTCTGGATAAGGCTTATGAATTTGCTGGTGGTTATAATTATCTTCGTAAAACAAATGAGGAAATCGCAAATCTAAGAAAATTTTCTTTGCAAACAAATTTTGTTCCAAATATGTGTATGTTTTATTTACTCCAAATTTCTGATTATTTTTTGGTTTTTTTTATAGAAATTTTCCTTCTTTGCATTTAAAACATATTGTAGCAATTCATTAATTTCATTTTACCAATTATAATTTTTTTTCCAGTGAGAAGTTAGTTTTGAATTTTTTTCAAAAATAAATAATACCTTTACCTTTGTCTGCTATAGACAGTTTTCAATTCATTTCGATTCGAGTTTTTCCTGATTTTATATTCATGAATTTCAATGTGCTTATAGTTTTCAGGTAATGGATTAGAGCATCGTTCAGCATTTCAAGTGATTATACGAATGAGGAAAATGTTTGACCCAGGACGCAAAAAACTTTTTAAAACATCAAGGTATGCATTTACTTTCATAATTTCTCTAATTAATCTTGTAAAAATTGCGAATTTTCGATCTTTTAGGTATAAAATATATTATATATGATGCGTTAGTGGCTCAGTGGCAAAAATAATTGCCACCGAGAATTTCTGTCGTCAAGGGACTCCCTGGCTTATTTGTCTAGTACGACAAGCCAGCGAAGCGAGTCTAACCAGTAATGGTGAGTGCTTAAAAAAAAGTTATATAAATTAACTGCAAACTACCATGCTTCATTTGATGCGAAGTAATAAAAATTTCGAATACTTTAAATAAGGAAAAGAAAAATCAGAAAATTTAATAAGAAAAGATCTGTTAGGATAAAATCTAGTGCAGCATTGGAGCGGTATTGGTTTTTGTTGCTAAGAAGTAACTAAAGTCGTTCTATTTCTCAGTTTTATGCTTTACTCGATATTGCGTGGTTGTATTTCTCTTTTTTTGATCTTATGGTCTATTTTGCTAATTTTCTTGGCTATTTTTCTATCCTTTATAGGTTAAAATGGAGCGAGGAAGAGGATAAAAAATTAGCAGGATTGGTGGCAAGAGGAATGAATTATGTTCAAGCTAGTCATGCCATTGGACGCCCTGCAGATTCAGTAAAGCATAGATTAAATGTGCTAAAAGCAAAAGGAGCGGTGGCAGAAACAGCGAATTGTTTTACTGAACCTTGGTCTGAAAGCGCTAGGCTTTGTTTATTTAGTTAGTTATTTGTATTTTGCGGCAGAAAATGCGAATTGTTTTACTGAACCTTGGTCCGAAAACGGTAGGCTTTGTTTATTTGGTTAGTTATTTGCATTTGATTATTTCAAAAAGCAAATGAATTGCAAATTGAAATTGTGTTTTTAGAATTCATTCGAAGATCCATGTGCTCTGTATTGGACAACATTCCGAAAGGGTCTAAGCTAACATTGCCTGTGGATCTAGCCTTATCTAAAGATTTTGAAGAATTAAGTAATCTTTTAAACTGGTATGCTATTAGCGTAGAATTATATCGTTCGAGCGAAGACTGCAAAAAACAGTGGTAAGTACTGAATCTAAGTACTGAGTAAAGCTTTTCATTGTGCAGAAATTGAAATTTTATCAAACACTGCTACTGGCTTAACTAAACGTGTATTATAATGAAATTTATAGGAAAAACGAAAGATTTCCGTTTACAAAGTTTGATTCAAGACTAATGATTGCAGTTAATTTCTGTTAGTTTTGATGCAGTAGTGCTCTCTTATAATAATATATTTTATTTTTTAGGCTAAAAGAAGCTGAAAAATTACGTAAAGCAGTTTTTGATTGTAATGGTGACCGAATTGCTGCGATAAAAATGTGCATGCCAGAAATTATTTCTTTGAAAGTCAGTCAGTGGATTAAAATTATAGATATTATGCTAGAACAGAATCCATCTACTGTATATGAAATCGATAAAAAAGTTCTTCAAGTCAGGTATTCTATGTTCTCTTGCTATTTTTGCTAGTTAAAGTCTACCAAATTATCCTTTCATTTTTTTTCACACGTATTTCTTGGTTCTTTTAAGCTTTATTAGGTGCAGAGAGAAAATAATAATTTTAAATATAATTGATTTCCATAATTTATGTAATATAGGTCATATTGATTTGAAGGTTTCTTGAACTTACTACCATAATTTATAGGTTAAAAGAAGAAGATCTGACAGGATTCAATTCACATGGTCGTTCGGAAAGCCTCTATTGTAGGCAAGTGATTAGCGTATTTATCGGTGATTATTATCGGTTTTTGAAGAATATTCTTTTTGTGAGGTTTACTACTGCAGGTAAATTGTTCTCGTTCATACTTTGTCATTTTACTTTATTTATATTTTTGCATAGAAAGACATTGGTACATTGGCAACAACGGATTTTATTGAAAGTACTTACAAACAAAAATTGAATTTAAAACAATTAAATAAAGCCGATTTGCTATTTGTTATATATTTTGGCAGTTTTGACTTCGTTTTTATCAAAAAATAAAGAAATTATCAATTAAGAAGGAGAAATTAAGCTGAATTGAGTGAAATTAATATGTCTTAATATTCAAAATAATTAATATTGAAAAATTGAACATAACTATTATTATTTATATTTAATATTAATAAATTAATATTAAATATAAATTAATAAATTAACATTAAATATAAATTAACTAATAAATTAATATTAATATGGCATAAGCTGACAATTTCTCAAAATTTCCGTTACTTCCAATGAATTTTATAAAACTATTTCGTTAACGATATTTTCAGAAATGCTGAAATCATTTTGATAGAACCACATAAAAAAAAAAAAAAAAAATTATTGGAAATTATGAGAGTTTACGTGAAATTTACTCATGAGTATAAATCTATTAGAGATGATTCAATTTTTGCATCATTTCTACAGTATTTGTGATTTCAGAATGGCTGTATATAATTAGACAACATTTGGAGGAAATTTTAAATAGCAAAGGAGACAAAGTTTGGAGTGCTTCATCATCAGTGAAATGGAATAGCATCTTTGAATTTATTTTGCAATTTCTTTTTAAAAAAATGAGAGATACTACAAATCCAGATGCTTCAATTAAAAAATCTATAGATAATTTGGAAAAATTGAAACATATGAAGAATGAACGAAAAACGCTAAAAACACGACCTAAGAAAATAAATGTTGAAAAAAACAAAAAAAATAATTCATGCTCTAACGATCAAGCAAAATTGAGCAGAGAGGACAATAAAAACGAAGATAAACTTGGCCGAAAGATTATTAGAAATGGGTTCAACCATAGACTGAACAAGCATCAAGAAAGCGATATTGAAAATGCCATCATGAAAAATGGAAGCAATCACCAATTACATAGGATAATTAAAAGGCTTCGGAAAGATGATGAACGAAGGAAAAGCATATGTAAGCATTTGAAAAGGATTTTAAACAAATACAATTGATTAAAGGACAGAACTGCTGGTTATGTATATTGCTGCTGTTATTTTGCTGTTACTTGGGTCCTTGGCAAGAATAAACCATCCAGTTGTTGCTGGCGACTCATCTGAATTTTTTATCGTTGAATGAATTCTTTGGCAAAATTTCTGCAGTCGGGCAAGTCAGCGGAGCGAGTCTAACTGGAAATGAGTAATCTTGTTTTTGATTAAAATAATTTATAAAATTATTTTGTAAATTTTTATTTTTTATCAGTTTATTTGTTGTTTTGAAATTTAAGAAATTTACGGCGATCCAGAGGATCGAAACAAACATAGGATTTTTTTCATTCACTGTCGTGGACAGGTATAAATTTTTAGCTTTTTTCATGAAAATGAGAAATATGAATATTTCGATCTTTGTGTTTCTACTTCAGTTTCTACAAATATAAGTATTAAAAATAAACTTTTTTTTTACCAAAATGAAGATCTTGGCGACGCAGTTGGTTGAGGCAATCATTATTATAAATATATATATATAAATAAATAATAGATTATAGTTTTATTCCTAAGAAATATTTTTTATATTATTTTATATTGAGGTCTGATTCATTCTTTTAAATGGTTTTCGTTAGATTGTTCGTTATTTTTTTAATAATTTGAGGTGGATTGTTTTTTCTTTTCGACTGATAAGTGGTTTTGATTTCAAGTATTGTGGGAGATTCTAGAATAAAGGAGTTTGCTAGGACATGATGTATTGTAGGATTGAAATGAGTTTGAGGACAGGTTTATTCAAGAGGGTACTTTAGGAATATAGCGCAATTTTGGTGGAAATATGAAGAATATAAAGGAAGGATAGTTGAGCACATTGCGCGAATATAACATTTCATTTCACATGGCCGTTCTTGTTTCGTGAAATAATCGTAAAATTGTCGCTGTTATTCGCTGTTTTTTCGAGGGAATCGAAAATCCGTTGTGGTTATGAATAATGAAGAGCCATCGAGTAGAAGTTATAAAAAAATGGGTGAGTTGTAATTCGCTTTTATTTTTACATTCGTTATTAGTGATTTTGATGATTTAGTAATTTAATTTTCAGACTAATTATAATTTTTTATTATTTCATAGGAAATCATCGATTTTTGAATTTTTTATTTTTTTTTAGATTCATTTAAATTTAATAGATTTGGTGAATTTTTTTGCCAAAATATTGCCAGAAATGATTAGTGCTGTTAGTCGAACAAAAAGAAGATATATACTTCTAAGATATAAATATAAATAGGAATGTGCAAGGAGTGTGCCGTTACATTGCAATTGTGCTTAAATTCTGTGATACCTTTTTTATCAGAAATGATAATTCAGTAAGCTATAAATTTCAGCTGACGAAGATCCAGTTACTAAGTCTCTTCCTCAAGACTCCATACAAAAAAAGAGTTCCAAAAAGATTCTAAGCTATGGTTATTTGCATTTGATTATGATTCTTTTAGCTGCACCTTCGTTGTTTATGAAATCGAAAAGATTTTTATTCGAGATATTTCATACTAGCTTCTACTCCTAGTTTTCCGATTCATCGGCAAAATGTCGTCGGAAAATCAATTTGTTTATCTTTAGAAAATCTAAGTGTGCCACTGGAGTTAGCCCTAAGAAAATGTGTTTGGATAATACAGTATTGAAAACTGCCATATCACCAAAGCATACGTCGAAGTAAAAAAGATTGCTTTGACATCAAAGAAAAAAAATAATTTTATTCTATTATGCTTCTTTCATAGGAAAGTATACCTTGGGTCGATGAATCTAAGCCAACAAATTTGCAGCACTTAATAGGCCAAAATGTCGAAAAATCATCTATGAATAAATTGCTTGGCTGGTACCATCTCCATACTGATGAGAGAGAGAATAAGAAAAAAAGGTTGTTCTACGCATTTTAATTAGATTTTGAGGTTTGATTCGAAAATAATAAAATAGTTCAGGCATGAAGATTTGTTAGGCCTGATTTTCAAAAATGTTTTTCTTGTGGGTCCATCTTTCAAAACTGTGCTTTTAAATGGAGTATCTGGTTATTTTATCATTTTATTGTTGTTTTTTGAATTTTTTTCTCATGGATTTTATTAATCATTGAGCATTCTTAATTTTCTTTTTTTTAAACTTGTCGATAGTGATCTTTTTTTGATAAAAACTTGCACTTGCACTTGCACTAATCATCTAAAATTTCCGGTCAGAATTATCAATATGAGGAAAGGTTCATTAAAAATATGTAAATTGGCTTTTATTTCAGGTTTCATTTTGACCACATTTGCTTTTAGGTTGAATATAACTGATACCAATCTTCTGGGACATGAAATCAAAATGATTTCAATAAAAGGATATATGAAGTTTTTAAAAAGTTGTAATTTCATTGACCATTGGACAATTTAAAATTTACCAGACTCATTTAATCTTTCATCTAAGAGTAGAATATCTCAATGGGTTTTTGTTGTCATTTCTGGACTTCGACTCTGGGTTTCTACTGACAGAATTAATATCTATCTTCGAAAAATCTCGGTTAATTCTGGCGGTCCACATATAATTTTGTCGCAGAGTGGCCCGCTGGTAAAATTCGTCTAGTTTAATAAGCTAGAAATAATGATTGCTTAGAAAGAAAAAATCATTCGACCAAATTTATAACATTCAATTTATATAAATTCTCTTTGCTCTATATTCTATCATCCATAGTTTAATTTAATAAAATTTTTAATGGCACGTAGGGAATCGTTATAGATTTGATTTTTTAGGCTTTTCCGCAAAAATTTTATCTTAATTGCAAATGGTTTTTCCACTGGCAAACAAAATTTTTTATAATAATGAAATTGGCTATTTTTTATTTATTATGGAAGATGTTTGTCAGAATGATAATGATAATTATGGTAATTTGATCAGAGCTAACAAATCAGAGTTAAATCAGAGTTAACAAATCAGAGCTTTTTAAAGCTCTTATGCAAAGAAAAAAGTAAAATTAGAACGCTCTTAACAATACATTAAAAAGGACGAAAATTACACAGCAGGACATTATTTTTTGACATCTTTTGATTTTTATCACTTATCTAATGCGATTTTTCTAAATCGTATCGACAAAAATTTTTTTTGCAAATCGTGGAATTTTACTTTTTAACTTGCTTTGTATTTGTTTTCTATAACTCGTTTCTGCTGCTCATAAGACTGATAAAATACAATTTTCCATTGCTTCTTTTCCATTGTTTCTTTTTCCAGTAGTTCGACGATTTTTCTGTATTTTTCTGCTTTCGCTACGGCCATCTGCAATATTTAAAATAAAATAAAAATATTCAGAAATACAGTAATAATCGAATTAAGAGAAATAAATTATGTTAAACGTTTTAAGAACTTCAGAATTTAGAAATGTTGAAATAATCATTTTTTACCAAAAATTGATTTTTTTAATTTGTTGAAATAATACCTTCGTTTGCCTTGTTCGAATTTTAAGCGTAAGATTGAGAGTTTCTGCTTCTGCTTCGGCAATTTTTTCTCGAAATATCGCCAATTCACGTTCTAAATTTTCGAAGGGAATATTATCAATTTTTCGCAATAGTTCAATTCTGTCAATTCTAAGCAATTCGTCTGAAATACCTTTAATTTAAGGATTCTAAATATATTCAAAAAAGAAAAAAGCAAAACGAAATCGAAAAAATTCAACATTTCTAAAAATAGCTTAACAAAAGTAATGTAAAGTACTATAAGTACAAGCAAAAGACTTATTAGGAGAAAGGTCAACCGTTGAGAGCTTATGAAATAAAATTCTAGGAAAAACAGAAAAGAATTTAAAAATAATAATTCTGAACAAAAAATAAGATTATAATTTTGCCCAACTGAAGAGAAGAAATGATGGAAATTTCTACCGTCGCAAGGAACGATTTTAGATAATCAACGTTCAACAACGTTTCTGGCAGTGAGGGAAATTTTACTTTCAAACCTATATCAAATCATTTGACAAGTTCTACATAATTATAGGTATAACAAAGCAAGCTAAATTTCAAGCTAAATTTGCTAAATTTTCAGCAATGCTTTTTAAAGTATAAACGGTAAAAGTTTTCTATGCCTAAATTATCGGCAAATTTTATTTGGCTATGTGAATAAAATATTTAACAGAAAGTACTTCGTCGTTTGCGGTTATAATCTTCCATAATCTTCAATTTTGCTCGCTTTTCCTTGTAGGCTGAGTTGCTTTCCTCTAAAATCGCCTGCAAGCAAATAATTTCGATATTTCGCTATTTTACTTCTCTTAATTTATCTTAACATTAGACTTCCAAATCCAATAATTTAATTCAAATTGTAAAGGGAATTGCACAGTCTATCATAGAATTTATATGAAATGTCAAAATAATAATACTCAATGTGAAATGCTTGTAATGATAGAAATAATCTGCAACGATGCATTATCTTACTTCGATTTTTCTTACGGTTGCTTCAGCCAAATCGTTTCTTAACTCAAACCATTCAACTCGTGCGAGCAAATGACAGATTTTAAAGAATTTCATATCGCTTCTCGATAACTTCAAAAAAAGTCATTTAAAGTTATTCCCAATTATACAGGTAAAACGCGTACAAATAATCTACCTGACGTGAATTCATCGTCGATACTGAATATGCGAGTGTTTCGTTTGATTTCTTCAGAAATCTTATATTTTTCTGAATAGCATTTTCGAGCCTAAATAAATGAAAATAAATAAAATTTATGGATATATGCAAAAAAAGAAAAATTAAAATCAAATTGGTACTTCATTTGCAAAAAAATTACGCTTACATTTCGTTAAAATCATGAAGAGATTTCGAGAAATTAAGGCAAGCAGTTCTTTTGAGCTTTTTAACTTGTTCGCTGTCATACCCGAATATATTTAAGCAGGGTATATTTTCAGTCGTGATACTGAATTCAGTAGAGAAATCGTGTTCATTAGCGAACGATTCGCTCAAACTATTAATCGCGCCTTCAGGCGAATGGCCAGAATACGGTTTTGCAGAATCGTTGATTGTTGAAGTCATATCTTCAATTTCTTCGAAAACGGCATTACCGATTATCTCTGAACCCGAAGGTATAGCGGCCAGCAAATTCTTTATGACGTTTATTTCAGCTGTAATTTTTTAAAACTGATTTAATAACAAAAATTAATATAACCAACAAATAATAATATACGTTTAACAAGGAATTAATCAAAGGGATCAAAGGTGCATTAATTTTTTTATGGCATAAGAGCATATATCCGACCATTAATGGATTTACGGTTAGCTTATCGGATACAGTGTTGAAAAAGATATTTGTTACAGTAAATTCTTTATATGGTTGAGAGATTTTCTATGAATTATCTGCGATTTGTTATTATTATCAATTATCTGCGAATTATCTGGTATCTATTTCTGCATGTCTCTATATGAATAAATATCTTTAGCAAGCTTATTTCGCTGATGGTGGACTGATGAAGTTGAATGAAAAGCTGGTAAGATTCCAGCAAAACCATTTTTAACAAGACATCTTCAATTTATGCTGTATTGGTATGCCCATGATTTAAACAAAGAGATTTTTGAAGAATATTGGCAACAGACGTTAGGAACGCAATCAATTGAAAATGCAAAAGATCATTCCCAAACTATAGAAGCTTCTTCCCGACATAACAATGAATAAAATAAGAAGAAATTTGAAAAAAATACCTTCATCAAATGCCCTTTTAATGCCGTCATTTTCGTTCAGTAAAAATTTGCATGAACTAATCTGTTTATCACTTTTCAGTTTTACTTTGACCATGGAAGAACTAGGAAGCGCCAAAGTGTCGCTATTGTTCAAATTTTTGCAGAGGGTTCGACGTATTTTAGCCAAAACCTAAAATTGGAATGATTAAAAATTCATCCATATTTCGTTTTAATGGATCAGAACTGAGAATGAAAGTGAAGCAACGAACTTCATCGACAGTAATGGCATTATTTTGTGATTCGGAATTCATATTTTGCGATGTTTCACTCTGAGTTTCTTCACAAACTAAATTCTAAAATTATGAACATTAATTTGCTTAAATTCCGCAAGAAACGATGATCTAATTTATCAGATCTATCGACAGTCTTATTTCAAATATTTTTTTAAAATCCAATTCAATCCAAAATTAAATGGTTTTGTCAATCCAAAATTAAATATATATATAGGTTTTTTGCAAATTTCTATGCGAAACTCACTGCAATAATTGCTATAAGACATCATGGAAAGATATCATGGAGAAATCATGGAGAGTAAGCAGGCTATACTAAATTTTTAAATTGCAAATACGGAATAATTGGAAGTTAGTACCAATCTTCTAACGTTTTGTTTCATTAAAATAGAACAAATACACTTAAATGAATTAACATATCAAAGCGGAAAAAATTTAGAACATTTAAATGAGAATTTTAATGGGGGAAAAAGTTGAAGCCAGCAGAATTAAGCTGAAATTTCCAAGAGACGACAAAAGATAAAATATGGAAGTGTAAAAAAATATTAAATAAAAAAAAAAATGCAACGTGGCACAATCAAAAAATTTGAATAAATCAATTTTTAATTGTATGGAATAAACGAAATTCCTATTGGCTATTCTGGCAATATCCTCAAATTCCCATTACCACCTATATGATCTTAGCCAACATTAAGTTGGCCTTTGCGATTTAAAGCAGATTGCGAAGTTGAGTAGGGTTTTGAGAGGAGGCAACGATGATGGAGACTTCTGAGAGGTGAAAACTCCATCTGAGGAAGATAAAGTGGTATTAAAAAGAATATTCGGAATGTATTCGACGTTTTGCGAAAATTTTTCAAATTTGATAGGTTTAATGGGATATTAAATGGTTTCAACAAAATGACTAATGGACTTTTACAAGAAAAATTGAAAGATATGAAGAATGAACCAAAATAAATGTTGAAAAAAATAAAAATAATTCATGCTCTAATGGTCAAGCAAATCTGAGCAGAGAGGACAATAAAAACGAAGATAAACTTGGCCGAAAGATTATTAGAAATGGGTTCAACCATAGACTGAACAAGCATCAAGAAAGCGATATTGAAAATGCCATCATGAAAAATGGAAGCAATCACCAATTACATAGGATAATTAAAAGGCTTCGGAAAGATGATGAACGAAGGAAAAGCATATGTAAGCATTTGAAAAGGATTTTAAACAAATACAATTGATTAAAGGACAGAACTGCTGGTTATTTATATTGCTGCTGTTACTTTGCTGTTGCTTGGGTCCTTGGCAAGAATAAACCATCCAGTTGTTGCTGGCGACTCATCTGAATTTTTTATCGTTGAATGAATTCTTTGGCAAAATTTCTGCAGTCGGGCAAGTCAGCGGAGCGAGTCTAACTGGAAATGAGTAATCTTGTTTTTGATTAAAATAATTTATAAAATTATTTTGTAGATTTTTATTTTTTATCAGTTTATTTGTTGTTTTGAAATTTAAGAAATTTACGGCGATCCAGAGGATCGAAACAAACATAGGATTTTTTTCATTCACTGTCGTGGACAGGTGTAAATTTTTAGCTTTTTTCATGAGAAATATGAATATTTCGACCCGCCTTATGTTCTTGTTTCAGTTTTCGCTAAAATAAAGTTCTTAGGTGAGTTATTGTTTACTTTTTGTTTCGAAAGTCAACAGATAAAATGCATGCTTTTAAATCTATAAAAATGCACTAATCGCATTTGTTTTGAAAAATTTCAGACTTCAGGCATTGTAGTTTATGCATGATGCATGGTTTGAAATTCGACACATATAACAGTGAAATATTTTATTTAATCGAGTTTTATAATAAAAATTTTTAAAATATTATTAAATTTAGTAATTTTTTTCGTTGACTATTATGAATTTTAATGAAGTTTAAAAGTTTAAAAAAAACTTCATGAAAATATTAGCTTGAAAAGAAAACACAGTTATTATTTGTTTTTATTTAATTAATTAATTAAAAAATTGTTCCAAGAGGTCTTTTGCAGAGTGGAGCATCTTTTAAGTTGCACGCGAATATTTGCATTCGTCCGAGTATATAATTGCCACATCTACCTCGTCCATTATGTACATGTCTCCATGCTTCTCCTTTATCATACGTACCATCCGCCCAGACCCAGTCACGACCAAAATTATATCGTCCAATCCAGAATCTTACGTAGCGGTCTGAAATGGAAAAAATAGAATCTACAAGCGCCTATTTCGAGAAATTCTATTAATCGATGTTTGATTCATTTTACAATATTTTAGAAGCTTCCTATTTAAATTATCATTTATCATTATAAATTATCATTAGCGACTTATTTCATGAATTCAAAAGAGAATGCTCATTTATGAAGAAAGAAAAGATTGTGATCAAGATTGAATAATGGTTTAAAGGACAAGATACGATATGTGAAATTAATCTTCTGCCTTATAACTGGTATAAAGACTAACGAGAGAGAAATTTTAACTCGTCTGCGTTGTCAAAAAAGATAGGATAAGACAAATGAAGTCGACATCTTTCAATAGTATCAATAAAGTGAATGGGTGCAGGATCCTGAAACGGTTAATTTATGGAAAGAATTATTATGAAGAAAAATGTATTACGATAGGCTATGCAAGAAATATGAGCCTGTTTAGAAGATTAGAAAAATGTCAGGAAAAAGAGCACCAGGTTGAAGACGAGATTTATGATGCAAGTTGGAAAAAAGAAGGATTATTCAGTAATATCTAAGATTATTCAATAATAGGCGAACAAAAAAATGAAATTATTTAATTTTATTTAGAAAATTCCCAAAAAAATGTTTACGTAAAGATAGCATGAATCTGTCTCGTTATAATAGATCCATCCTTGATCGCATGCTAAAAGAAATTTGAATTATTTTTTTAAAGATTATTTATTAAAATCATTGGAAATCTGAAGTCTTCTTTTTTTTCTTTTTTTAAATCTTCGTTTTAGCTCTGAAATCTGAAATGGAGGCACCAGGTGAATTAAACCTTGCATGGTTCCAATTTTTAGGCAAAAATGGACCTATCGGTAAAATTCGGAAGGTGTTGGGGCTTCATTCAATCCACAAGTAATGCTACGACTCTATGGCAAATAGCACTTACATCAGCTTATTATTCAATACAATTAGCTAAATCGGAAAGAGCTACAAAAGAAAAAAGTTTCAAAAAGCCAAAATAGTTGAATTTTGAAAATTTTTGGCATAAAATACAAAACGAACGTGAAGGTGATGCAGTTTGAGAATTTCCAAAATTAATGAGAACTGCGAATGAAATAAAGGAAATCAAACTGAAAACAACCATTCGTACAGCAACGAGTGAAAAATTTTCGAAAATACTTTCCTTACTATTAACTATATATTTGAAAATTTTTCAATGGCAATTGTTTGAACGAATATTTCTGAAAAGAGAAATTCGCGATTTTATAAATAATAATTATTTCTTTTCACAAAATACTATTTGCTAAAATATAAAAATTTATACATTTAATACGTTTTTATAAATAAATGAGTAAAATTCTATTTGTTTTGTCATAAAAAATTTATTTAAATCTTTTACTATTAAATTAAAAATTTTGAACTTTAATCGAACGAAAAATTTTTCATTTTTATTCGATAGAAAATTTTGCTAAAAATATAAAAAAAAATTTAAAATCTAATAATTTTTTTTTTGAATATAAATTTATTTATCTACAGAAGTTTTATTTATTATTTATTTTATTTTATAATAAAAGTTTTATTTATTTTATTTATTTTATTTTATTTTAAAAAATTTTTTATTTTATATTTTATTTATTTTATTTTATAATTTTTATTATTTTATTTTATTTTATAAAAATAATTTATTTGAATAAATTATTTTTTAAAATAGAATAATTACTCGAGCAATTCGGTTTTGCTAAGTATCATTTCTGCTTTGGCTTGCAATTTTGGCAACTTATCTAACCATTTCATCATAAATGTACTTTACTTTCTTCACAGTGTCTATGGAATGGCAACCTGAATTTTACTGTTAATGATAAGATTAAAGTAATTTTTTTATTTTTTAAGCGAAATTCGCGAAATGCTTTGCAGGTGCAAATATGTTGTCGATAAGAATGAACTTCTAAAAAAAAAATTTAGTTTTTATGTTATTTTATAGATATTAAGTTCAGCAAGCCTTAGCATGCTTCGATACTTCTTCAAAACCTATGCTATTTCACTAATAAAACCTCGAATTTCTCTAAAATCACCAGTAGCCATAATGTATTAAATTTTGCAGTTTTATAACTGGCAAATGTGGTTGCGGCAAAAAATGGCAAAATTTGATTTGGTGTTAAAGAAACACTGGTTTGAGAATATTAAGGGCCTACAGTCAGGTCTTAGAGCAATAGAAAAAGTACAAAATGATGCTACGAATTATGACAAGAAAGTGCCAACGGACTTCTTAGATGTTAAAAGGATATTTAACGGGATTTGAAAAAATTTTTCAATAGAAAGTTGTCAGAGGATATCAAGACATTTCAACCCAGATTGACTGATTTTTAAGAGCACTAGAGCACTGGAAAATGATCGATTGTGCTACGCTAAAGTGATAGACAATGCTGATTACTGATTAGACTTGCTTCGCTAATTTATTGCACTGGATAAATATGCCAGGAAGTCTCATGACGATAGGACAGATGAGTCGTTAGCATCATTCGGATTTTTGGCGGTTTACTCCTGCGTGGAGTAGAACTTCTACTCCGAATTGAACAACAACCAACTAATCCATCCCATTCCCCATAATGATAGGCTAACTTTCCACAAGTGGTTAATATAGAAGAATCTGTTGGAATTAACACATCATAAAGGAGTTTAAGGAATTCTTACTTCCTGGATTTTTGAAAAAGTTCGATAGAGTGTCAAAGAAGATTATAAAGATTTTGGTGTTATAGAAGGTTTTTGCCACAATAGTATAATGGATTAAGGTAGTACAAGGAGGTTTAAAGTTATTGATGTGGCGAAATAGTACGGCCAAAGCTGCAATAGCTTAACTGAGCATTGATTTGATATGACAAATTGCAAGGAAAAGAGGCAAGACGAGGTTAGGAAGATTGGACAGATCAAGCCGGATCGAAAGAGATATCACTGAGGAAATATTCTGATCTGGTGAAGTCAACATGCTTGAGGATAATGCAATTGTTTTATTGCAAAGCTCTTGACCACATACTAAGATTTTTGACTACAAAATTCTAATCGTGAGTGCATTTAGCGCCAAAAACATCTCTCAGTTCTATCCGGAATATTCTGTGGCGTACATTCGTTAAATTTTCTCTCTTAAAGAACTTGCCCTGTTTTCGAAGGCGATCTTTGATAGTCCTAATAGATGCTTCAACTTTATTTCGAATTATTTCTCTGCATTATGGTTGGGCTACGGTCTCCGTGATAATTTAAGTTGTATTTCAAAACTATTAAATTCTAACGCTCGTTCTTCATCACGGTTACAAGTAATGTCTCTATATTTAATTTTTCGACAGTTATCTTAGTACGCTATGTCATTTTGCTTGAGAATTGGAAGAAAGACTGCTTTTGCTTCACTTATATAATATTTGCCGTTCCGTTTATAAATGATTAATGGTTGAGTTATCGCGAAATATTTGAAAAGTTCAACAGGAATATCTGATAAAGAGAATAAGAAAAGATAAAGCTGAGACAGCCGCTCAAAACGAATAATTCCCTGAGTAATTCCATGCGCTAAATACTATAGTATACTATACAGACTGAAGCTAAGGTATCTATCTGAATTATTTCGCAAACCTCGAATTTCAAATTCAAATGACAAATTTTTTCAAAAAAACTATTGGCATATTTTTAAAAAAAACTCGATAGAAAAGAAAAAAATATATGCGAAAAAGTGCAAATGGGAGCCTGAAACTCAGAATAAATGTTTATTTTTACATGGTTTCAATTTGAATTCATATTTTAGTACGAATCGAAATGAAATCGGTAAAAAGTAATATAAATAGAAATCAGTAAAATCGGTTAGTGAAGCTATTTTGATATTAATCTTTTGAATGGAGTTATTCGATGCACGCATTGCTTTCTTCTTCTGCAAAAACAAATTAAAATAAATAAATATGAAAAATTTTTAGTTTAATAACATAAAATTGAGAATTTCCATGAAAAATTCGAAAAAAAAACTAGAAAAAATTAAAATCAAAAAATTTTATTAAAAATTAAATTATAATTATTAAATTAAGAAAATAAAATTTTAAAATTTTTTTTCACCTTTACATTTTTGAAAAATTTGATTTATGATAATCGTCGAGTTCCTATAAAAATTTCTGGTGGTTTTTTATTATTTCGATATTCATTGGATTTTTTTTTTTTAAAACTAAATAGAGATAGGAGAGCACAACGAAAACTTTTATTCAAAAAACAATATGTTATTGGATTTGTGCATGACGAAATATAGCAGAGAATAGTTATCGATGTATTCATATGCGAATTCCATAAGTCAAATACCTGAAAGCAAAACAACTCTTTATAATGTTACTTTTTTTACTGATAAATTTTGTCAAGAAATCATGGCATCTTCATTAAGGGATTTTTGAAGCAGAATTTTTTTTCTAATGAAAGTAAAATCCCAGTATCGTGCGTGGAACTTTAAAATGTGAGCAACAATCTGCCTAAGGCCCTTCTACTTTCTTTTAAAACTGGCTATTCATTTATCTCTTATCTTCCATTTTCATATGAATTATGAATTTTTATTAATATTAACGAAGAAATGATAAGAGATAGTTTTAAAAATCAGAAAAAAATCACCTCGAAAGCGTCTTGTGCCGTTAATAACAACCACCAAATATAGTTGGGCGCCCAGCAAAGAAAAAATATTATCACTAATACAATGAGCATACGAATTAATCTTTGTTTAACGATGACTGATTTTTCACTGAAAACATTACATCCTTATAGTGAATGGTATCATAAGCGATAAGGCTCAATGAAGATCTAAAAAGTTATGGGAAATTCTAAACGTATATGCAACCCATTATGTTTGGCCTTAGTCGATGGAAAAAGCTGCTGTTACTTTTAGATGTTGGAGATTTAATGGAACCTTATCATGCCAGTAATACAAGCTAACCAGTAAAGAAGCGTAATATGAATATTATTGAGCAATTTCTCACATAATGAGGAGAAATTTCGAAATTTTCACCACAAAATTATACTCTATACTCCATTAGTTCGCATCTAGAGAAGAATAATACCAATTTGATTCATCAGAATGGTGAATCAAATATGTATCTGTATCAAATAAAACGCAGTAGAAGTCGGATATCGAGTCGAAACGAACTCACGTGTGAGTTGAGCGTAAGCTGATCTTTCGGCTACCAATGTTGTACTGTGCCATATCATCGTAAACAAAAAGTAAAGAGGAGTGTTTTGACATATTGGTCTTTGACATAGCATAGCTATAAGCGTGTCCAATTAAATGAAATCCTGGCAATGCACTGAAAAAATTTAGATGGTACCAAGATGAATAATAGATATTAATTCATTTAAAATCTCAAAATCTCAAGATATCCAAAACCTAAAAAAAATAAAAAATTTCGCGCAAAGAAGTTAGTTTAAATATGTGAAATATAATTTGCAGTAGAATAATATAACTGATATCGCTTGAACCTAAAAATTATGATTCTTCTAAATAAATCGAAAAACCTATGCATGCTTTGAAAAAAATCTTTATATGTGCAAATCTTCTTTTATTCTAATTCTATCCTTAATTTTGAACGAGATAAATGGAACTCTATGCGGAACTCTGCTAAAGAAGCATGATAGACAGAGGCAAGAATGTACAATGCGCAATGTCTTAAGTTACTGGCCAAATTAAGGCACCGAAGTTAAATGTGGCCAAGTGATAAACAAAATTTCAGATTATCTTTTCCTATAATATTATCTTTAATATAATATCTTTTCCGTATGACACAATCACTGTGGAATGGAAGCGAGCCTAAAAGGGAATTCGCATTTGACTATAGCACGTAGAAGAGCTAGTTGTACTACTATATATTAGAATAAAACATGAGTATGAGATCTTAGAATGCTATCTGGAAGAGTGGGTTCCATTACTTTCAGATATGGCGTTGGATCGAGAAGCTTGGAAATATCTCATCCTTATAGCAAATAAAGCCAGCATGATCAGCAACGATTGTTTGCACTGCTGGAAGGATAAGAACGACCATTCATTACTTTCATATAGAATAAAAATAAATATAAGCTTTCACTATGTCCAGCATATTGACTGCGAAACTGTTTAGTACGATAGATTGTGGAATCGTGAAACAAAATCTAATCTTGAAATTAATCACTCAAGTATTCTTAACAGTATCAGCATTCTTTTATTGGTTCTGAAAACGAGGTTCCTCAGAAATAGTTTTTTGCTGCCCTCCTTTTCTCGCACGGCATTTTTTTTCAGTGATTACCTGTTTCGTTTTCGGTTTAGCAGTGAATTTTTGCGAACTGTATTTTCAATAATGCCTGCATCACTGCATCGTTGTTTGCCCAATTGTAATGATTTGCACAAAAAGTCATCGTAATTCCTTTTTAGATTCTCATCATGAATAACGCTTAGAGCATCTTTGGAGAATAACCTAGTTAAGCTTCTATATTGATCGTTCTCTGAACAATCTGAAGAAAAATATTCAGCGGATGGAATTAATATTTTTGGCTTTCAAATTATAATTATTCATTTGATGCAAAATAGGCAAAATTTTCATGAAAATTTTTAGTAATAAATTATTCTATAATAATATTTGTATTCTTTGTCATATTGACTTTTTTTTGAATCTTAAATCTTGCATTTAACTTAAATTTTTGCATTCCAATGATTTTAATTTTTAGATTAGAGAATTTCAAAATCCAATATAGTATCAACTTAAGGAATATGTTATAGAATATGCAATAAATTTTATACCAGAATTGTACTAAATAAAAGCGGCTAACAGCCAAAATACACTTACAACGTGTTAAATCACTATATGAACGATGCATACTAATTCGTAGAGCACGAATTACGAATCCATACAAAACGATGAGAATTGAAAGTGGAATCAACAATAATACAAAAGTCATGTAAATCTATAAAATACTGTTTCTGGAGGTTATTAATCGGCTTGAATAAGCTATTTTTTTTCTTAGGCCTTAGGTATAAAAAAAAAGCTCGATGAAGCTTTAAATTTTCTACTATATAGGGAAAAATTTGCTAGGCAAATATTTTTTTTAAACAATCTTTTAAAATTATTTGTCGGTCTAATGCTCGAAAATTTCTTTTTTTTCACTGTTGGAATTGAATAAAGAAAATAATCACAGAAAAATCCTCGAACAAATAAGTAATTTAGAATTTAAAGCCTGAAAACGAAAATCGAAGATGGTTTGCTTCGATTAAAAATGTTTCTACCATTTAATATTAGAATCAATTCTAATATCAATTCTAATTGCCCTAGTTGCCTAATAAAGTAGGCAGAGTAGACAGTGCTATCATTATCAATTGTTATTATCACTGCAGCAAAGATAAAAAAGATTGCCAATGTCAAGTATCAACCATTTACGAAAAAAAGCGAAGAGCGGATTCGTATTCATCTATTGCAACGATATTTAGATAACGCATATTTTAACGACAAATTTAAAATAACTTTTAATAAGAGAAGCATTTACCTGGTACAAAAAATGAAAGAGTGGTCGCTGTTTTGGTGCACAGGTGAGACCATTTTTATAATTTTTTTCTTCATACATAAATAACATAAAAATATTTGCAGATAACGCAATTATCCAGACTAATGAAATCATTGCATACGCGTGAGATCGAGTTTTTCTATTGCGAGAACGAAGTGGGCTACAAATTGCATGATAACGCTCGAAGGCTATTGCTGCAAGAGTGTATGCAGATGCAGTGACTGCTACAGCTGAAAAATGGTATATATACGACAGGCACGTGCATTCTCCTCTGTCTCACCAATTCGTCATAAATCTTCTAAAGCAGTTGTCCTCAGCCTTGGTTCCACAGTTATATCATTCGCATATCCTTTGCGAATAAATAATTGGCTTCATGTAAACTAATATTCATTTCTACTTCCCCTAAACTTTAACAAGAATTCACATTTTGAGCAATTATTAGTGCAGAAACTATTAATAGCGCATTTGATTTCCTCATCAAAAGCCTAAATACTGAATAAACTTTCAATCGCACTCCTCTAATTATCTATATTTTATTTTAAAACAGCATCCTAAGAAGCCTTTTGACTTTAGCAAATTGCTAAAAACAAGTAATAAAGGAATCGTTTTTTATCTTCAGAATTAATTTTCTTGTGAGTGAATGAAAGGATTACGATAACATGGTAAATACTTATAATTATATTTGACGATGAAGGTTTATCAAAAATATTTAGTCATTCGAAATCTGAGGTAAGAAATAAATAAATAACCAACAGTTGTGAAAAATTGAATACAGCATTTAATTCTGATAAGGATAATAAAAAAATTTACGTTGTAAATATGCGAAAAGTTTGCAAAGGAAATCACCAAAGATCCAACAATAAATCACTGAACTGATAAGAGTAGGAGGCATGCAGATAATTGATAACATTAAATCTGATACAGCTAGATTCAATAAGAAAAAATTCGTTGCAGATCGCATCGTCTTACGCTGAAATTCTTAGAGCGCTCGACTATATTTTTTAAATTTTCCAAAGAAAAGAAATATTTCGCTGTGCATGAAAATTTAATTTAGAGAAGATTATTATATGAGCTTAAAATTGACTTCAGAGCTTGAAATTTTAATTAGCATTGCTGCTACATCATTACTGTTACAACTATCAATCAGTACATATGGTAAAACAAACCTTTGCGCGCGATCAAATTCCAGTCGCTTATTTATACGTTGTTTTATAAATTTATAAGAAAGAATGAAGAATAAAAGGAATATTTTTACCTTCACAAAAATTATTATAACAGCTAAATTTCCAGCAACTGAGAGAAAAAAAATAATAACAAATGATATTATTGTTAAACATGTTTCCACTGTATATCGAAATCGACAACTTTCGCTCATATTCCACATTGAAGTATTTTACATATCGTCCTGTAGTCTTCGTAAAATCTTAGTTATATCCCATTAGAGAAACAGCAAAATCGTTCTTCCTTCCTTCATAAATTGATATTTAATGATATAAAAAGCGTTATCAATATTGGCGGATATTAATTTACTTTCGAAAAGCGTACAAAAATATAGTAAAAACATGGAAAGACTGGATTGATAATCAGTCAATTCGATCCTATGAAATGAATTCGATAAAAAAATGACTGAGGATGTATTAAGATAGCCTTTGAAATTACAATCCAGAATATTTTATCTTCAACATAGAAATTAAATTTTTTTCTTCGACTAATAACACTATCATATATTTGCTTCTTCTTCTTCTCAGATCATTAGTTTCTTTTCGATGTAAAAACTGATTGAACAATCAGCCATAGTTCATGCCGCTATTTTATGCGACTTTATGGCCTTTCTATGCTTTTTTTTCAGTAATCAGCAATACTCTCAAATTTAATTAAATAAAAAGCATTATTGTGGGTCTTATAAACAAAGATAAACTTATAAACTTTGAAAATGTAAGTAGAAATTTTTCAATTTTCTGCTAAAAGTAGTCGAAAAAGTAGTTTGCAATAATGACTTTTCTATAAAAATCTTATAGGCCTATAACCAGCGATATAATTATTATTCATAATAATCAATATAATAATTATTCATTTACTAAAAATTTTTTTATTGACAATTAATCAAAACTTGCTGCAAATTTTTTTCATTCCTAATTAGTTTAAAATGCTCTTTTAATGTCTTAAAATTGAAATAAGACAAGACTATTTTTCTTTGTATAAAAGCTACCATATTTAGTTAGGCTCACTGGACTCGAACAAAGCGAATTTTGCCGAGATATCCCTTCGCGATTAAAATAGAAGTGGCTCACCAACACCACCCAAGTGGCACACTTTTGAAGAACAGGTTTAGTCTCGGGGAGAGTGAAACCCCATCATCACTCCAAAATGAGAGCAAACCACTGAATCACCCTGTTGCACTCAGTAGTACCATTAAAAAGAGCAACAAAACATTGAATCACCCTGCTCCATTGAGTAGTACCATTAAAACCACTTGCTATATTTCATGGTTGTTGTTGCTATATTTGACATAAAACTAAAATCTAGAAATAAAGAGAAGATCTGGCGTATTACTTAATCAGAATAAGTGTTTTTAAATAATTCATAAAGACACAGGCTTGCATAAGTATCACCACATAAGCAGTTTATATCAATGTTAAATATTTTGTATAACCCTTAAGCTGCAAGTTGGGCTGAAGTATTTGATCGCTTTTATCGAAATTTAATTTGTCCAAATTTTCGTATAGAATAATAGGGAGAAAAATATGAAGAAGATAAAGAAGAAATAAATTTAAAGATGAATCCTTTTTTAACCTTTTTTTATTATAATGTTAAGGCTTTGTTTTAAAAAATGATTATTTTGATAGTTTTTTCAAGCAATTTTAAGTAGTAGAAATAGAATGGCTCCATGGTTGTTGTTGCTATCATTTCGGAGCACCGATGCTGGAATTCTACTTCCTGTGAGACTAAATTTATCTTTTAGGAATCCAGATGATACCAATTATCCACCTTCTATTAGACCTGCAAGCCAGCTAAGCAAGCCTAGCCGAAATTTGTGAATCTTTAGGAAAAAAAATTTAAACAGCAAATAAGATGCATAACTTAACGCTATATTTACGAATACAATTGCAGGAAGCAATAAAATTAGAAACAAAGTATTTTCTTTCAAAAATGATGCACCATTGAAGAATTATTCGAGGCAAATAATAAATTTCTCGTGCGAATAATAAAAAAGCGAGTCAATTCTTTGTGATAAAGCGAGTAATTCTATTTGACGTGGTTGATTTTATTCAAAAAATGTCAAAATAATGTCGATTTTATTAGAGTGAAAACTTTTAAATGAATGTTTTAAAAAATGAAAATCGAATTTTTTAATATATTATTGAAAAATTGGAATTTTATTAAAATTTTTAAAATCTTTGATACTTTTATATATTCATTTATATTTATATTTTATATATAAATTTTAATATATATTCAATTAATTATCACTGATATGTTTATTATAGAGAAAGTTAAAATCACAAAGAGGAAGATTTTTAACGAGATCGATTACAAACTAAATAAATAAATATTGCAAGCCTAGTTTTGGAAACAAATGAGAAATATTCCGATAATATATAATAGAGATAGTTCCTTTTTTTGATAGGATAAGCATTAAGTTATCAACTTAAACCAATTTCAAAGCTGAAATACAATCATTCAAGAAGCATAATTGCATTATTAAATAAAACGATTTGCGTTGAAAATCCATTATAACTTTAATCGAATCGTCCTTTCTCATTTGGATAGCATTTTATAAGGTAAATAGATAGCTCTCAAGAAATAAGAATCTGAATGACAAGAGAAATTCAATTGGAGTATGAGTTTTCTGCTAATCGATTTGTGAATTAAATAAGGCTTTTTATACGGAATCACTTGATTTTCTGGAAAAAAATTACTAGCGCAATAAGAAACTTCACTAAATAAAATATCCGTCTTTCTTAAATACTTCGTTGATAAATGTATTTTTTTGTATGAGAATCTCTCTATTTCTAGTTAGGCTCAATACGCAAACCAGACTAAGCTAGGCAGATTTTATCCGAGAATATAACTTGACGATTGAAGTACGTTAGTCGTCAGAAAGAAGCAGATTTCTGAAAAACAGCGATTGCATCACTCCTACCGAAAATAGAATCGCAGCATTGCCCCTTCGAAATACGAGAACAATACACTAAGCCATAATGCGCTCAGATGATCGAATATGAAATCTCAACTTCAGAAATTCGAATAAAATATAATTTCAGACAGAAAAAACCTTTAAACAAAATAAATGTACAATTTTTAATAAATGTACTCTGCTAGTCTAACTTCACAATTATCTGATTTTATTAGCTAGTAAAATGGTTTATATAAAAGTCTAATCATTTAATTGTTTGGAATTTCACTTTTAAAAGAAGCTTAGATTTGAAATTTTTCTTTCTTAAAAAAATGTATCGAATGAGTAAATCAAATTTCTTAATGTTTCTTTATGAAATAAGTGATTTTATAATGGTGAAATACCTAAGGAAGGTTCAATAACCCTCAAAAATCATTTGGAAGTTAAAAAAAGTGGATAATCGTTTTTAAAAATTTAAGCACTCTAATTATTTCAAATTCAGCTCTTTATATTTTCCTTCGCTTATTATTTAAGGCACGTCGGATAGGAAAATAGTTGCTACTGAGAATCGAGGTTTGGCTTCGAATCCTCAGGCACATCACTTTTCGTCGGGCGATGCTGTCGTCTAACGGAGAAATACAAAGAAGAATAGAATGGCTCAACAGGTCACTGTTCTATTTGGAATACCGATACTGAAATAGCTATAATTCTATCGGCAAGAGAGTCCCTGATATATTTGCCTAGTCCGATAAGCTAGTGTAGCGAGTCTAAAAAAAAAGAAAGACGATTATCTTCCCAACAAAGAAAGAAAAATATATGTGGGAAAAAAAATAAAACTGATCGAAAAATTTGACGACATTAAATTTTTTGCTTTTTTGAGTATCAAACACATATTTTTACTGATAAGTATGTGGATAAGCTAATCTCTGGTTATCTGATCTAATGGACTGGAATTATTAAAATCTACTTGAAATTCACATACTGATTCTTAAGATATAATTTTTCATTTGCTAAATTTATTATGGTAATAAATCACTGGTTAACGTTTGAGGTTCAGTCGTTACTGAAAAATTACTTAACGTTTTATATAGTGCAATTTAATCAACTTCGCGCTCATCATGGCCAAATCACCAAAGTTAAATAACGCCAAACCAATAAACTTCTTGTGACGACTAAAGCTTCTTATATGAAAATGAGCTACGCTTATTAAGTTAATTTATGATTAGATTAAAGAGGATGCCAAGCCTAGGAGCATGTGATTTCAGCAGTTCAGACGAGTCAAAGCAATAAAATGCGTCAGTAGAATATTTCGTTTTGATAGATGACAAAATTCATTAAAATCAGCTGTGAAAAATTTATCAAAAAATTAAAATCACTGAATAATGTGATATCAGCGATAAAATAATTCAATGAAACTGCTAAAATTAGAAAGGAAAACAATAATCAGAAGAAGAAATCGACGTGGTCAATGAGCCTTCGATAATCATTAAGATATTTGATAATTGAAAAAAATTCTATGAGGTCCAATCTCGATTAAAAGTACAACTATATTTCTTGCGAGTTTTCTGGAAAAAGGCTTAGCAAGATAACAAAAGAATGTACAACTAGCACGATAATACTAGAAAACATCGTACATAGTCTCCAACTTCAAATTTTTCCAAAATTTTTGAGACGTTAGCGTTGAATGTAGGAATGGAATTATTGGTCCTGTTACTAGCAAATTTTATTTCATTCGGCCAATTAAGGCATTTCTATTTAAAATGATATATATCAGTTGACACCACAACTACTACTACTTTTTCCGAATTTTCTACTTTTCTATTATTTTTCCGGAATTAGTTGTA